TGACCTTTCTCGTCACAAGTGAATCGCTGCAGTTATCAGTCGCAAGGTTGTTAAGTGAATTTGGCTTCCTCATTGGCTTGGCTTGTCAGAAGGCCACAAAAGGAGATCACATGACCCCGGGACACTGCAACTGTTATAAATATGAGTCAGTTGCCAAGTGTCTGAATTTTGATCACGTGATCATGGGGATGCTGCAACGGTCTTAAGTGTGAAAAACGATCATACGTCCCTTTTTTTAATGCCATTGTAACTTTGAACGGTCACTAAGCAAACTGTGTGATGACCCAAGGCACAGCATAGAGGCAAAACAGTCAGCTGGCAGTTCAAACCGCCCTTTATTTGCTCCAATTTTCCCCAAATGCTCCCAGGTTTCTGGCAAGCCGCAGAACAAAGTAAGACACACACACACACACCTTCAGCAGTCTCTGGCTGCAAGTAGTTTCACAAGTCTTTAACTCTTGAGACAGGGAAAATGTGTGAATGGAACAAGCTGTCCTTCAGGTTTCGACTCACACACAGAAGAGTAATTCACTCAAGGCCCCGTAGATAACAAGGAAAGAAACCTACATCCAAAATCTAATTGAGTTTGTGGAAATACAAGCTTGCCTGAGCAGCTTCAGAAGAGAAGCCAAAATTCAACCCGAGGTCTTTGAACACCAAACCAAGTTTGTCAGCCAGTCCAATGGTCAGCATTTCAGGGTTTCCAAGCAGAAATCACAACCCAGAACAAGAGATCAGAGAGTTGTTTCCAAGATCAGCAATGGTACGCAAAAATTCAGCGTTTGTTCCCGACAAATGCCCCTCCCCACAGCGTCTCAGTCTTCAGGTATGCCTTGTGGAGAAGGGCGGGGAGCTCCTCTCCACAAGGTACACATGTAGTTGAGCCTGCCTGTGTTGTTCCCTCCTTCTCTCTCCTCTCCGTGCTCTAGGATCAGGAGGGGATGGCCCTTGCTCATCACCTGAGCTCTGTCATGTTCATCCTGTAGCAATGCTGAAAGGCCCTGGCCTGCCTCTGGCTGCTCTTCCTCAACATTCCTCTAAAACCACAGACACTCTTCCCTCGACCTCCATCAGCTCCAGTTCCAGCTCATTTTCCTCAGTAGATTCAGGCTCCAATGGGAGCATGACAAACTGTTGTTAAGGTGACCAACTTTTTTACAATGAAAAGGAGGACACAAATAAATTGAAGAAAAAAATATCGTAAATAAAAGAAACATTTTATTCATTGCAACAATAATACAGCAACTTGCATGTGCAAAGTTTGCCAGCCGGGTGTTTTGGCGCGCTCAGCAGCAATTCCTATTGGCCTTTGAAAGCCAATAGGGGGAGTAGCACAGCTCATGCAAAAGTTGGAAAAAAAAACATCAAAAAAAGGTGCTGGAACGCTGTTCTGAGCGTTCTATGAGGGGAAAAAAAAGCCCTGCAGATTAGTCTTCAAATATCGAAAAGGAGGACATGAAGGAGGACACTTTTTGAGGGAGGACAGAACTTACAAAAGGAAGACTGTCCTCCCTAAAGGAGGATGGTTGGTCACCTTAGACTTAAGTTGAGGACTACCTGTATTTCAGCAGGACAGCACATGGTTAGCATGAGAATTTTCCTTCACATCCTTTTTGTGATGTTGAGGTAATAGGGACAAAGAATGCTGTTTGACTTTCTGAAGTGCTGCAGCTGGTTAGCCAGTATGAACCTGTCATAACAAGACTGCCTGAACTAAGAAGAAGCAGCTTCCTTATGTATTGTAAGAGCCACCAGTTGGAGAAATTATGATAGAATTCATCCATTAAGCTAGGAGCTACCAGTCAAACCATATGAATAGATCTATCTGGATCAAATTTAAATAGGACCCAGTTATCTTGAGCACTGTATAAAGCAATACATTGTGTCTGGTACAGGCCATTAGACGTGGCATATGAGAACTTGGGACAAAAGAAGTGCTTTCATGTCAAGACGACAAACTCATAGGGAAAATTATAATCAAGAATGTTAACCTTTAGTGCCTTCTGCGTATCAGCAATTTCATGAAGGAGGATTTAATCACTATGTATTTCGGTTCTTGTATATGAAACTTGGATCTGGCGATTCTGTACTGCAAACTGTCGCACTTCTGCAAGCTTTTGAGATTTCACTATTGTGAGTAAGCAGCTCTTTTGAACCCACTTCCCCTTCTTTCCCAGCCAAGTAGGAGTTTTTTCCCCCTTCCCTTTTGCAGTAGAGGAGATGGTGGAGGTGAAAAGTTCTCCCATTTTAAGCACTTTGTAGATGCAGTTTTGTTTCTGCGCAGGTATACTGTAGATATCCATCTGAGACAAAGAGGCCATAATATGATGCAAGCTGGTGCAAGAAACTTAAGAGAATATTAATCATGGCTGATGTGTTTCAGACTATTTGTTGTTGTTTCAGAGTGAGATTTAAAAACTCTGTTCCACAAAGGATTACTTAATGCCCTTTAAAATGTTGAAGTTGCCAAGGGTACTGTAGTCAGGAGGTATTTTATAAGGCTATTAAGTAAGGCTAGCTTTTGTTCTTTCCATAGGAAATAAGTATGTTCCCCGCGCAATCCTCGTTGACCTGGAGCCGGGCACAATGGACTCAGTCAGGTCTGGACCTTTCGGCCAGATCTTTAGACCTGATAACTTTGTCTTTGGTAAGTAATACTCATTATGTTTTTCTATGATTGTATCTTAAACGGCTGCAGTATAATTCCTACTATTCAATTTGTTCTAAGTCAAAGGTAGGCACTATGTGTCCTTCGGTGTTGCAAAATTAAAATTTCAAGAAGTCCTCATCAGTGGCCCTAGCTGCTAGGAACTATAGATCAGCAACACCTGGAGGCTTATCCTTCCTCTACATCAGGCATGTTGAACTGCCGGCCCACAGGCCAGATGCGTCATGCCGAAACTGCGCCCACCCATTGCTGACAATGGAGAAAAAGTCGTGATACGTCACGGGTTTGATATGCCTGCTCTACATACATCTTATAGATTCAATGAAATATATAAAAATGTACGGTGTGTAAGAACCATTGATCAATTCAGCCTCTATATGACCATAACTGAAATGAGCATCACTGCCTAGATAACAAAAAGATGGTCTAACTACAGGCTGACCTAATTTATATGATCTCCCCATCTGCTATCTGATTGGAGAATCTCCCTGCTCCATCTCTGATCTTCAAATTATGGAATGGGGGAGGCCTCCAAAATTTTGTCTCTTGAACGAATATCCTCCAGTCTTTTCTCCTAGACTGAATGCAGTCATTTCTCATCTCTCCATGCTATAGATGTAGGGACAAATAATTTGACTGTTACTGGGCCAGATGACAAATTTAGCTTGGATTGAATTTGGTCCATAGATCAAGTATGAATATTATTTTAGCATTCCTGGCATGTAAATGGTTTTGTAAGCATCTCTTTTCTTTCTAATTATTCCTTTAGGCCAGAGTGGTGCTGGGAACAACTGGGCCAAAGGCCACTACACAGAGGGAGCTGAGCTAGTGGATTCGGTGCTGGATGTAGTAAGGAAGGAGTCTGAAAGCTGTGATTGCTTACAGGGCTTCCAGCTCACCCACTCGTTGGGTGGGGGCACTGGATCTGGCATGGGAACGCTTCTCATCAGCAAGATTAGGGAGGAATATCCTGATAGGATCATGAACACCTTCAGTGTAATGCCATCTCCAAAAGTGTCAGACACAGTGGTTGAGCCATACAATGCCACCCTCTCTGTCCACCAGTTGGTAGAGAACACGGATGAAACCTACTCTATTGACAATGAGGCTCTGTATGACATCTGCTTTCGCACATTGAAACTCACAACTCCAACCTACGGCGATCTCAATCACTTGGTATCTGCCACCATGAGCGGAGTGACCACCTGCCTCCGGTTCCCTGGCCAGCTGAACGCAGACCTTCGCAAGCTGGCAGTCAACATGGTGCCTTTCCCTCGCCTGCACTTCTTCATGCCTGGCTTTGCTCCCTTGACGAGTCGTGGCAGCCAACAATATCGTGCCCTGACAGTCCCGGAGCTGACTCAACAGATGTTTGATTCCAAAAATATGATGGCGGCCTGTGACCCCCGCCACGGCCGGTACCTGACGGTGGCAGCCATCTTCCGGGGCAGAATGTCCATGAAGGAGGTGGATGAGCAGATGCTGAACGTCCAGAACAAGAACAGCAGCTACTTTGTGGAATGGATCCCCAACAACGTGAAGACGGCCGTGTGTGACATTCCTCCCCGAGGCCTGAAGATGTCTGCCACCTTCATCGGCAACAGCACCGCAATCCAGGAGCTCTTCAAGAGAATCTCTGAGCAGTTCACAGCCATGTTCCGGCGGAAGGCTTTCTTGCACTGGTACACCGGCGAAGGCATGGATGAGATGGAGTTCACGGAAGCCGAGAGCAACATGAATGACCTGGTCTCTGAGTACCAGCAGTATCAAGATGCCACTGCAGATGAGCAAGGGGAATTTGAGGAGGAAGGAGAGGAGGATGAGGCTTAGAGGTTTTGAGTAGGGTTAGTCCCTAGTCCAAGTAAGAGCTGTTCAGCTGTATGAGTGCATGCTTTTCCAGTTATTCTTGGTGCTTTTCACTGTTGCCTCTGTCAGCATTTTTTGTGACCCTGCTCTATTACTTTAATATTTATAAACTGGCAAGATGATTTAATTAGGGAGATACAAGTCCTATTAAGATTGAGTACTATGAAGTTGAACTCTTCACAACAGTGCTGGTAGTAGGACCAGCTCTACACTATATATTAAAATCTGAAGAATAACTTGCTTCCACATTTATGCAACTATAGATTCTGCACCTCTAATTGGTATTTAATATAATTCTCAAAGGAGATTACTGCAGAGATTAAAGTTTTATTAAAGAGAGATGTTAATACTTTATCTAAACTAAGAAAGGGATTTACTGAGTGCTTTAAAAACAAAGCTTCTCTAGATTGGTATTTTTTAGATGTGTTGTAATTTGCAATTCCCAGATTCTCTTAGACAGCACAGATTTTCTTTCTTTCTTGGGAACAGTAGGAGCTACAAGTACCAGTACTTCTGGAGGGGGCTACATTGGAGAAGACTTGCATACCCCTCGTTATTGACCATTGCTCTTGATTCCACTGGAAAGGCAGTAATCAAGAAATGTAATAGTAATAATAGATTTCTCTACCAATTAGTATAAGCAGTCTACCCCTTGAAATATTTTTGCACATGCTAAAGAATATTCTACAGAATTGCAGAGGCAGTAGGTAAACTTATTTTGATTAATTTTCCCTCATCTTGTGCTCTCCCAAGAATGCACACCAGATAGAAGTATTTACAATTGCAATTAGAATTCTGTGTGTAACTTGTAACATTTTAATTGTAATTTAAACTGATCATTTCCAACTTTTGGGATTGGGCTGTTCAAAAGATGCAGATATTGCAACAACTGGATTTTAAAACTATTTTTTGTAATACAGGAAAGGATTGTTATCATTGGCTTGTAAAGTTAGGAGCTTATTCCCTCTCACTTTAAGAACTAAGATGGTATTTTTAATATTCCGAATCACTGTATGTTCAAAATCACGTCTACAGCCTTTTTCTTAAAAAAAAAAGGAAGAATAATCCTTAAGACTTGGGCACAATTGCAACTAGAATGCTAGTAGAGCAGGCATGAATTCAGACAGCTGGGATTGAGCATGTTTTCTGTGGCACTGTCTTATGTTGGCTTTCTTTTGTGCATCGTGTAAACTCTTCAAGAATGTCTGCAGTAAAATTCTGCATTGGCTTTTGTGTGGTGTTCAGTGTTAAGGACTCTGTATCAAGGCATGCATTTTGAATAATGATTTTTGTTTGTGCTTTTCTTCAAGGTGAATCTGGGCAATAAAGTATTTATTGAAACTTATGCGGCTCCCTTAACTTTACAAAGCTTTTGAGAAAATATTCTCACTTCTAGCAGTTTTTAATCCTTTTCCATGTCCCAGAATTATTGGCATATATCAGTTTTGCTACCATTTGGAGAAAATACATTCCTTTGTCACATTCTTTCCCTTAAGAATACAATTCACCGTTGCCAGTTTCAGCTGAAGTTTATCAATCTCTCAGGAACAGCAAATAAGTAGGTGCTTTACACAAGAAATTCTTCTACCATTTTCTTAAACTCTTCTGCAAACCGTAGGTGTAAATTATGTTTTCCTTCAGGCATAAAATGCAACCTGTAATGACAAAGGTTGAATAGGTTAAGTATGCCAAGGAACTGGTACCAGCTGACCTTAACTTGCTGTTTTCCAAATGATATCAAAATTAGAAATGGCAACCCATACAGCCAGTGGACATTTTGCTTTGTCATTCTAGGTGCTGGGGTTTTAGCATACCAAGTGAACACTGAATTGGTATTTCTTTAGGCCTCTGTAAGTACAGATACTGTAATAGAAGCTATTTGTTTTGTTGAAGGACCTAAATGAGATTATTGCTGATTTTTAATTCCTTCTAAAGGAAACACTGAATGAACAAATGTCACTTTCCCTTTGGTTATGCTGGCTGTGGGCATAATGGAGGTTGAAGTCTAAAGCATCCATAAGCAACAGATTGGAGATCAATAGGGGCCTGGTTTGGTTCTACAAAAGTTTTCCTTAGAAATATATCTTGTGTTCAGTGAAAGAAGGCTATAGCTTTGCCTTACCACTACCAAATACCACATTCTCCTTCTTAAGAAGCAATCTTTGAGTTTTCTTCCTGCAGTTACCTGTCTCAGACCATAAACTCCAACCTTTTGACTAAGTGGGCCTTAAAGGATTCACAATGAATGAGCTGGTCCTAACAATAAGTATGTTGCCTGAATGAAGGGGTGGTACTGGAGGAAACCCAGCTAACATTTCATTTTGCTGTTAATTCCAAACTTATTTTTATCATGCTCTTATTATTTTTATAAATAACTCAAAACAGTGAATATATCTAATACTCCTTCCTCCTCTTATTTTACCCACAACAATCACCATTAAGGTGAGTTGGGCTGAGAGAGAGTGACTGGCCCAGAGTCACCCAGTTGATTTTCTTTTTTCCATGCCTAAGGTGGGACTAGAACTCACAGACTCCTGGTATCTAGACTAGCACCTTAACCGTTAGACCAAACTGCCTCTCAATTTGCATTCTCAAGCCAAATAGAGATTTGTGCTTCAGGAAAACTTAAGTGCAAGTTAATGTGCAAATCTTAATTCCTTAGCAATCTTGGAAATATTTGTATATCTTTGCAGCACTCTTAAAATTTTTACAGCACCTGAAGTCAACTATAACAAAAGCAGGAAGACATGGGAGGGGGTTAATGTTTTACAAAATGATCATATATTCATTACAGCAGGTTCTCCTCTTATCCCACCATTAAAGTATGAGACTTACCGTGAACCTTTGATACGCTTGTGGATATATTCTGCATGAAAACGGGGTACCAATGGATCTTTCTCACCATGTATAATTAACGTTGGGCATTTAATATGAGTTAGCAGAAGCTGACAGATATCACCTGGGGAGGAACAAATTGAACTAAAACAAATATTTTTTTATTTAAAACAAGACAAAAATGTGAAAACAGAATGTATTTCCCCACTGCAAAACAGCTGAATAGCAAATGATAGCAGTTGGTGAAGAACAAGCTTTTGCATTGTTTTAATCACAGCTGTAACATTGGGGGAGGGGGTTCTCTCCAGATTCCCTCCCAATAATGAACACTCCAGTTAATTAAATGCAGATAGTTAAATGAGAGAGCCCGTTCAGTTTAATGCAATGGCATTTTATATCAATAGGGTAATCCCAATTGTTTTTCTTCTTTCTATCTTGCTATCTAGTTAAAACTTTGATAAAGCTAGGAGAATATACTGCAGTTGATACAGATGTGGCATTGCATCTTCTCCACATAATGACAAATCATGTTTATGGATTGTCCAAAGAAACCTGGTTGATTTTCATGGTGACTGAGAGCTGGGTTATTTTGCTTTTGGGGTGATTCAATGTAGCTCTTATTTTTTTTAAAAGTAACCTACATTCATATGGCAAAGTAACCAAACTCTATGACCAGCATAAATATAAATTGCAAAAAAAAAAAAAAAAAAAAAATTCCAAGTAAACTAACAGTGTATTGTGTATCTTGTTTCATTGTTTTTATATGAGAAGGGAAAATAAACAATGATTTATATATCATTAAATGTAATCTGCACAATTAAAAGTTATACTTGTAACATGGTTCAGAAAATTGCTGTATCTCATCTCCAAATATATCTAGAAAATTAAATCTCGATGCTCTTTCTTCGAACATGGAACAACAATGTTCATATACATGTCCTGATCTAAGCACAGGCACAAAAAGAAACACGTGAAATTTCATGCGTTTTTGAACAAGACAACTGCCATGACCATAAGGAAAAATCTGTTAGATAAATCTAAAGACTTCATCCAATCTTTGAAATCACAGATTAGCATTTTAGGCAGAACCAGCATTCCAAAGTGGTCTTGTTGGGCATATATGAAAATTGGAAATTATTATTTCTTAAATTTGTTTGCCACCCACCTTCAAAGTTACTCTATGAACCACCAAAACATTAAACAGGGTAGTAATTATGACTGCTGGGTACATTTCCCAGTCTAGATGGTAATATTATATCTTTCCCCTAATTTAACCTTTCTGTCCTTGGTGTGGTGAACAACAATTAAATGCAGAAAGCACTTAAGATGACCTTGATGGAAAAATCCAACCAGGTGGTAATTAGTTTTGAACAATTATTGCTTTTAAACTACTACTGGCAATGATTGACTTAGCTTGGAGAAGCAGAAATAGGTACAGTTACTATGTACCATATTTAGAATGGTACAAACATCTCATAGGCAGCAAAGCAACTTCTTGTTCTCTCCTACATTTCTATCAAAGGTTGTTGTGGGGTGGGGAGGGGGGGTGGAGAGTTATTTTAAGGTGTTTAAAAATGAAGTTTTTACCACAAACAAATAGCAAGTGATTGTAAACGGATACTACACAGAGAACTTTGAGATAAGAAAAGGTACAAGACAAGGATGTCCACTACTTCCATTGTTATTCTAACTTTGGAAGTTTTAAATAGAAATATTAGGCAAGATTCAGAAATTAAAGGACTAGAAATAAAAGGTGAAACTTATAAACGCAAGCATTTGCAGATGACTTGGTATTCATCCTAGAGGAACCTTTAGATATGATTCCTAAATTATTGGAAAAGATAGAACAGTATGGAGAGAGAGCAGGACTGAAAATAAACAGAAAAAACTAAAGTGATAGTTAAAAATCTCACAGATAAACAAAAAACCCCCAAATGACAGAAAAATAAAACTGAATCAAATAAAACGACCTGGAAAAATGGAAAAACTTGCAATTATCAATGTTAGGAAGAATCGCTACAGTGAAAATAAATATATTACCAAAAATATTGTTTTTATTCCAAATGATACCTATAAAACTAGAGAAATTTTTTTTGAAGACTTAAATTCACTAATTTTGAAATTTATTTGGCAAAGAAAGAAAGCTAGAATCAAACTGAAAATGTTACAAGAAGCTAAGAAAAATGGAGATTTTGGCTTGCCAGAGTGGGTTTTATATTATCAAGCATCTGTACTAACATGGGTAAAAGAATGGATAACTTTTAGAAATAAAAGGTGGTTATATTTGGAGGGACATGATTTACAACTTGGTTGGCACTTTCTTATGGTATGGGGAAAATAAAATTCATAAGTATTTTCAAAATCACTATATAAGAAACACATTATTACTAACATGGGAAAAAATAAAATGTAAAATATATTTGAAAATTCCAGGATGTTTTTCAACAATGGAAGCATTTCTACATCCAAACTTAGTTTAGAGAAAATATGGACATATAAAGATATTCTAAATTCTGAAGGGAATCTAAAATCTAAACAAGAGATGGAAAATCAGGGTATTGATCTATCGTAGTGGGCATATTTACAAATGCAAGTTAGATACGATAAAGATGTCAAACTGTATGGATTTTATAAAGAGCAGGCCTTGTTTGATCAGACATTATTAACCTGACGAGAAATTAATTAAGAAAATCTATAACTTTTTATTGAATTTGAAAATGGAAAATGAACAAGTTGAAGAAACAATGATAACATGGGCAAAGAATTTTGGATACAATATAGATTTAGAAAAATGACAAAACTTGTGGGCAAGAAATTATAAATTGACAATGTCAACTTCTTACAAAGAAATCTATATAAAATGTTTTATAGATGGCACTTGCAACCAGCAAGATTAGCAAAAATGTTTAAAAATATGTCAGATAGATGTTGGAAATGTAAACATAAGTCAGGTACTTATTATCATGTATGGTGGACATGTGTTAAAGCAAAGAGGTATTGGACAAAAATACATACTTGGCTAGAAAAGATGTTGGGAAAACGTGTAGATTTTAAACCTGAACTTTTTTTTATTAGGTATAATGCCAAAAAAGATTGATAAACAAATTATATACTTGATTCTACATGTGATAACAGCGGCAAGAATCATATTTGCACAACACTGGAAAAATGAAGAAATACTACCAGAGAAAGAAATAATTAAAAAAATACTAGAATGTGCAGAAATGGACAGACTTACTTTGAGGTTGAAAGCAAAAGAAGAAACAATACTTTCATCTTGGGACTTATTTTATCAATGGCCGGAGAAAAGAATAAAGGATTAGGAATTAAATTTGTAATAGTGAATGATAAACTCAGACAACTTGAATAAGTACTACTGAATTGTATGAAAAAATTAATAAAAACTTTATAAAAAAAATAAAAATGGAGTTTTCTTTCAAACCCACATACTTTTTAGGTAAACTGAACATTGCCTCAGGTTAAGAATGAGTTAGAATAATCACACCTGGGTTGTTCTTATGGATCAGCCTGGAATTAAGAAGCAGAAACCAGTTTGAGGCTTAGATCATGTGCTTTACAGAGTATAATTGACTCAATAAAGGAGGAGTGAAAGAAGAGCATTTCAGCCAGTGGTGGGATTCAGTCAGTATGCACCACTTCGACAGAACTGGTAGCTAATTTTTTGTTGCCCAGGCCCAGAATGGACTTCTGGAAGCTGCATCCACACAGAGAACCGGTTGTTCACATATTTGAATCCCACCACTGATTTCAGCTACTATTTGTTGGGCTCCAAAACACTTTTGTCCCATTCAGGAAACATTATACATTAGTAATTCTTGGTAAAAAAAAATTAAATTAATCTATAAGGGAAGTTAAGATGTCAGCCTAGGAGAAAGGCTGACTTCAGAGAACTGTTTACACAGTTACGTCCTTCTATGGAAGGCAACCATTGCTTGAAAGTTTATTCTTCATCAGTGAAAGGAAAAATCTCAACTGTGCTGTGTGAATTTACATGGAAGGTTTGCTTGAATAATTTACTTCATTAAAAGTTGGGTTTTCTTTGTTGGAACCCTGCCCCTCCCCCCCAAAAAAACCCTCCCCATCAGAATGAAGGAATTTTGAATGCAGGGATTTTCTTTTGGAGCTCCAGAACTGTATGGGTAGTTCTTGACTTACAACCACAACAGAGCCTTAGAATTTCAGTCCTAAGTCATTGCAATCATAAAGTGAGGCCCCATGTCACCAAACTTGATTTTGTGACTGTTTTTATGATGGCTGTAAAGCGAGTCGTGGTCATTAAGTGAATCATGTGGTCGTTAAGCAAATCCAACATATCTAATGGGTGGTTTTTGTCCTTGCAAATCATGGTCATATGACCACGGGATGCTGCAATCAGTCGTAAATGCAAACCAGTTGCCAAGTGCCTGAAATGCAACTATGGGGAGGTTGTGTAGCAATCGAGTGGTAATAAGTTGAGGACTACCTACAATGAATTTATAATCTTTCCATACAAAAGTCTATTTCTGGACGTTCTTACAAACTGTTGTAAAGTCAAGGACTACCTGTTCTCTGTACCTCAATAAATACTTCACCCTTTGGCACATCAAGTTCTCCACTCAGAGAAAATGAGAACACGGGCTGATTACAAGGTGATGCTTTACTGTTAAGGGCAGCTCCTGCAATCAAATGGCCTCCAGCTATGTTAAATTACAACATCCCAACTCAGCTACTTTGAGTCCACTCATGCTGATCGAGGATGATGGAATTCGTAATCTCAACACCTCTTGAAAACAGACATTTTTTTTATTCATTCCCAGTCTCTATGGTCATTTATGGATGCAAAAGGCTCGACTGAGCTCATTCAACTTCATCAGGCATAGCACTATGATCTTCTGAAAGCAACTATGTTGTAGACCCCCATCTCTCTTTCACATGCAACTTCATCAACAGAAAGACGACAAGAATGAAACGTTGCAGCAAAGCCAGGAGGAGAATGTATTGGGGATACGGAAAACACAAAATTATTACTTTTTAAATAAATGAGATAAAACAAAGTAGGCTGCAGTTTCAGGTTCTTACCATCTGATTTTTGCATGAACTGGGAGATTCCATCTACCCAAGCGGAACACATTTTGCTCAAATATTCATGCCCATACATTTCTTCCAATGGCTTTCTTACTTTTTCACTCCATTTAGAAACATCTCGGATAGCTGTATGTAATGATAAAATATAGTTTTCCTCTCAGTACCATCTCTGACTTTGTATGCAATTTTTAAAAGCCTGTCTGAGCATTTTGAACCCACAAGGCATTTTAAAAATGATTTAAGTTGCTGGAAAATAATTAGAGACTCTTTAAATGCATACGCTGTACTTCATATTTTGATATGTTGGCTGCAGAACCAAGATGTTTATATGTTTTTACATTATTCTTAAAAAGTAAATTCTGAGGAACTGAATCAACCAATGAATTATTTGAAGAGGTTAGATGCAAAGACTGAACACTTCCTTAGAGAATGTAATCAGCTTTTGGCCCATTTTCATATCCAGTGTCTTTAGCAGTTTCTGTAGCCTATTAAATATTCATTACCTTCAGATGCTTTAATCAACATTACAACTTTGTCTTACAAACCTGTTTCGGAAATCTTAGCTCCTATACTTTTTACCTAGAAAGTAGTATGTCCATTTAAGTGGCATTTGCTGAGGGTGTGGGGGCCTGGGGATGGGTAGAAAAGCAGAAAATGTATAATTATTGTGCTAATTGGATTATCTTCTTCTGCACCATTATCTGTTATTCAAAGATTATAGCTACTATAGCAACCTCTACAAGCAAAGTTGTAGTGGTTGTTTTTGTATGCCAATTGTTAGCCATGCCACTTAATTAAGTGAAAGTGTCTTGTTTGGTTTGCTGGGTTTGCAATTTAGTTAGGACTAGAATAAGGCTCAAACAAAAATTTCTCATTCGGTTAAATGCAGTTGAGAGGCAAAACAAACAAAAAAAGCAAAATAATTTATTTTTGACTGAAAATATAGTTATTTTTTTAAAAGATATCCTCGTAATATGCATTTATACCAAATATTTATCTATGACAGGGGTTCTCAACCTTGGCAACATTAAGACTTGTGGACTTCAACTCCCAGAATTCCTCAGCCAGCAAAGCTGGCTGAGGAATTCTGGGAGTTGAAGTCCACAAGTCTTAAAGTTGCCAAGGTTGAGAACCCCTGATCTATGACATGCATGTATATGTATGTAGGAGAATTCAGCAGTGCGCCACGTGCAAGTGCTTTGTTGTCAAAACATCTCAAATTGATTTAGAGATGAGGGCATAAGTCATTATTCTGAGATCCTCCCTCTCCAGGTACAGTGATAACCCCATGCTATGGATGACCTCTTCCAATGGATTCGTGTACATGTTAAACAAAATAAGGGAGAGAGTTGAACCCCAGGAACTGCATATTGGAGAGCCTGGAAGTTGGTTCAAGGTCACAAATGACATCTCATCTCACAGCAAATGTCTGTTTTATCAACATCGACAAACTCAAATGCCTCCCAACATCACTGCAAGGTATTACCCCATCCACTCTTCAGAATCCATCCAGTTGGCTTCCAACTGCAAAGAAATGTGAATTTTATCTGTCAAATGCCTTTCTAAAAGGTTGTAGCAGCCCTCTAGTGGTTCTTTCAGTTATTCTTCCTTGACACAGTCTTGGTCACCCTAAAAAAATTGCTGGATAGCATATTCAATGGATAGGTGCATAGAAGTTATGATGTAATGGAGCTTCCCTCTGAAAATCCATGGGATCCATCAAGTAATTAGGGTGAACCTCTATCACTAATCTTCCGTCTCTACAGAGATTGGTGGTGCCACTTAGCTCCATTGGTGATCAATCCACAACAACAGATTTCAGCATCCTCCACTTCTGAGCTGCTTTGGAACATAAACTAGATCCAATGTCTGGACCCCCCTGTGTGTATAGCTTATAATGACCATGGACAGGCCTGTGATTATCATAGCAACCCAAAAATCTCAAGCCACCTCACTCCATCAGGAATATTGAAATTATCAAGTACCGACAGACTGAGAGACTCAACCACCAATCCATCCTAATATATTTCTGTTGAAAATCATGATATCTACACAAGATTTTGGCATTTTTGTGTGATTACCACCAATGGTATAAATTATGGTATTCTTATAACAGTGCGAAATATTACAATTTGAATGCTATATGGATAAGTATGCACTAATATCATACTGATGCATCTAGCACTTAAATATTCTTTTTTACAGTATTCATATGCTTTAATATAAATTCTCATTATTATTAATTTAAATGTATTATAGCTGCCCAATTCCCGTGGAACCTGGGCAATGTACAAAATAGAAGATAATCCATAAAAACAGATAACACTTAAAACCGCACAGAAAGCCCAGACTAAAACAATTTAAAAATGACACAAATCAAACTAAACTAAAGAATACATAGTTCCTGAAAATACAATACTTTAAGCCCAGGCCTGGGACCAAAGCCAGATTTTAAGAGCTTTCTAGAACCCTAGGAGAGAGGGTTGAATGAATTTACCACTGTTTAAAAGAAAAAAAAAAGAAAAAGAAAAAAGAAAAGAAAGTTAGTTTGGTGTCCTGGTTAGAGGCACTGGGCTATAAACCAGGAGTTCCAGTCCTGCCTTAGACATAAAGCTAGCTGGGTAACCCTAGACCAGGGGTAGGCAATCTTGGTTCTTTTATGACTTGTGGACGTCAACTCCCAGAATTCCTGAGTCATAAAAGAGTCAAGGTTGCCTACCCCTGCCCTAGGCCGAATGCTTTCTGTCAGTTCTAGGAAGGCAACAAGCCACTTATATTGCCAAGATAACATGCAGAGACCTGTCCAGACTGTTGCTAGAAGTCAAGACCAACTTGAAGCCGTGCCCACATAACCAGACCCACACAATCCCTCCCATAAACATCCTCTTTCTTAAATTTGGTCTGATATTATAACACTCTGTGAGAATAATCTTGAGAAACAAGAGGAGGAGCCAGAGCAATAGTCAGGCAAGAGATATCTCAACCCACAGAAGGAACAGGGAGGAGAAAGTTCCTCAGAAGGGACCCTCCCTAGTTCTCTGGGAAGCAAAAGGAAGGGAGGGGAGAAGTGCTTTCAGACTTGCAAGATTCTGTTACTATAATCTTTCAATAACAGTAGTGTTACTACTCATGATTTGGTTTCCTATCTGGACTACCTCAAAGGGCTGACAGATACATACCATTGTAAATTTTCACATCCTCTTCTGTAACAAACACATTGGCTCCCCACACCACCATTTTGTGGATCAAATCTGGATGTTTTCCAGCTGCAATGAGTGCGGTTATTCCACCATCACTCCATCCCAACAAAGAGAACTTCTGAAACTTCAGTGCCTTGTTTAGCATAAGGAAACAGATTGGAAACAGTTCTTATTTTCACGGATGAGGGGCTTGGCCTAAAGTCGGCTGATTCTTTAAAAACAATACCTTCTCACTGATACAAAAGGAATTTAACATGGCTAAATTGTGGCTATGAAGCCCAGTAAGTTTATTGAATAGTGCTACTAAATCATATATTAATATATTATTCATATTAAATAACAATAATCACCACAATTAGCAGTTTTGTTTAGGTTTCAAGGACCACTGGGCATTCAAATAAGAAGCCTGAACTTATTTACCTGCATCAAGTCAACAGCATCTTTTGCATCTCTTTCAAAATAGTCTAGAGGATAATCTCGAACTGGGGGGATTGATTTTCCGTATCCTCGGGGGTCCCAGGCAACAATGGTAAAAATCTCCTTGTTCATATTCTTCAGCTGTGGTTCAAAATCAGTCTGACCGCTGCCTAAATCAACACACACACACAAAAACTGCAAGATCATCATAACCAAGAGAGAAACTTATTTTACACATATGAACATATGTAAAAGAAAAGAAAAAAAGAAAAGCATGATTAAATTAACTATCTTTATGAGTCTTGTTAAGAACAGAACAGAATAGGAATAGAAAACTTTGTCACTTTAAATAGACACTAATTAACGTACATTAAAATGAAATTTTGTTGCATTCAGCTCTCAAAGGATAACCACCTCCAATATGCACTACATAAACATGACAAAAGAAACTATTAAGAAAGGTAAGAGATCTTCCTCTTTTGCTGCACTAGGATCAATTTCATTTGTGAGTTATTTATTCCCCAACCATTGCAAAACCAACCATTTTTTTCTTGGCTTTCTCCTCACAAACTCACTACCACTGGCTAAGTGACTATGAATCATCACTCACTCTAAGTGGAAAACTAAGCAGTGTTCTATCTGATGCAGCTTGTATGACAGGAGGAAGAAAAATGCTTGTTTCTTGAGTTGGATTCCAGAAGAACAGTTGGAGGGATGTTTTCACTGTTTGCAATGTGCAATTTATGGATGTAGGGAGTGGTACTAGATGTTGGAAGATTTCATATAGCGTGCTAAGTTCAAACTAATCAAACTCTTTGGTAGACAAAGTAAAAAGGAGTTGTGGTTACTGAAGTCACTCAGAATTTTCTTATACAATGTCTTAAGTTTCCTCCGGTGTTGGAATTCTGTGATCTCCATCTAGTTCAGTAGAGTTCAGTACAGTTGCAATCAAGCAGAGTTTGAGAATCCTAGATTGAGAAAGGCTGATCCTGGATCAGACATAACTAACGAGTATTTCTACTGTATAGACAAAGAACACCCAGGCTGAGATTTAAGCAAGGCAGTCAAGGCAGTTAGAATTTTTTCCTTATCATTTTATTTACCCTCATTTAGGAAACAGTAATCAAAATTCCTTGGGAGATCTCTTGCTATCATCCAGAAGTAAACCAATACATTTTATCTCACTTTTGGTCTGTTTGGATAGTTAGTCTAGTTAAATAGATAGATGATTACTCTTGTCTAAAAGCAATTATTTTAGAGTCGTGCACTACCACAAAGATCTTCTGACAAATGTATTAATATGCTTTTTGCATATAATATGCTTTCCAAATAAGTAGCATAGTACAAGTGTTAGATCCACACCTAACATGCCAGGGAGTAGCAGGACAGCATGATTTCCATTTCCAGTCTGTTGGTAGTGTAGGTGGACGCCATTCACTTCTACTTTCGCTGAGGTTATGGCAGTGCTAGAAGAAATAGCTTCAATTGTTCAATATGTTCATATTCCACCTTTCTTCCCAATAGCAAATATAGCTCCCATTCCCTCTTCCCATTATTATCTGCACAATAAGGCACAGTATACAGTATGGCTCTTGTCCCTCTTAATAACAATCTAGTACAGGGGTTCTCAACCTTGGCAACTTTAAGACGTGTGGACTTCAACTCCCAGAATTCCTCAGCCAGCAAAACTGGCTGAGGAATTCTGAGAGTTGAAGTCCACACGTCTTAAAGTTGCCAAGGTTGAGAACCCCTGAACTAGTAGATTCAACTGAGATATAGTTTTGTGCCTCAGCTCTAGTCCACTTTCCAACTCAGATTTTTGCAACAAGGTATCTGTTAGGCACAAAGCCACTGAGTGACCTTGAGCCAGTCACTTTCTTTCAGCTCTAGGAAGAAGGCAATGGCAAACCATTTCTAAAAACCTTCCAAGGAAACTGAAAGGATTTGTCCAGGCAGTCTCCAAGAATCAAAAACAATTGAGTGGGAGAGGGGGAAAAATATGGCGAATGTGTTTTTCCAAAATTTCCAATCCGCAAATCCAACAGGAAGTTTTGAGTGGCAATTTCAACAATTTTTTGGGACATTAGGTTAGGAAAGGGTATTTTAATCACAATAACACATTGATTGATTGACTGATTATGTGCCATCAAATTGCAGTCAAGTTGAATCACAGAGACAGACTTTCTCTTGCGTGTTTTATCCCCAAACTGGCCCTTCAGGTCTTTTAACAGAGCACCCATTGCCACTGTAAATGAATCGTTGTAGCCATCTTGCTGCTTGTCAGTCTAGAGCAGGGGTAGGCAACCTCGGCTCTTTTATGACTCATGGACTTCAACTCCCAGAATTCCTGAGTCAGCTATGCTCAGCTATGCTGGCTCAGGAATTCTGGGAGTTGAAGTCCATGAGTCATAAAAGAGCCGAGGTTGCCTGCCCCTGGTCTAGAGTCTAGAAGACCTCCAAGATCCCTACCAGCTTTATTCTGATTGAACTGAATAGTTCAATCTAGAGTGTACCCACTGAAATGAATGGAACATGTGCAAATTAAAACACATCAATTGCAAAGATTATGACTGAGGTCTGAGTCCAGTCCTCCAGAAGGGCATAAAATGAAACTTCATTCATTTAATTTTTAGTAATAATGCTCAATGTTGATCTTCCCTCCTTTCCCTACAACATCCTAACCCTAATGGGTAAAACCTGCTGAAAGAACTTCAGAATATAATTTTATTTTGTGAGATTTACAAAGATCACTAATGTGATACAAAAGAATACTCCCCACTTATCTGGGATTACGCATGCACCCTACACACACACACACACACACACACATACACAGTGTACACACACACACACACACACACACACACTTGCCAAGCAGTTCATATTTTTAATATAAAAGTTCTGAGAGAAAAATCTTCATCCACATTTGATGTGGAAACACCTTTTGCACGATCAACTAACTTGGAGCTATGACTCCCACATGCCCTCAACAATAGTATTGCTGTTTTAAATACTTTTATTTATGGAAATTAAGCAATACTGAAAGAGTTTATTGTAGATTTCTCCTATCTGATGTCCCCTCAGCGTAATTTGTTGTTGAGAAGAGTGAGGCCTGTAGGAAGGGATCCAGGTTGGGAGGGGTGATGGCATATCTAACAGGAAGGGGTAGCCTCATTTCACAAAAGGTTCCTTAGTCGAGGGAAGAGGTGAAAAGCAGGGGAAAGAGAGTAATTGTGCCTTCATAACACTAGAATTGCTTTGGCAAGATTTTATGGTTGTTATTCTGCCCTACAGGCAAGAAAGTTCATTCTAGAGCAGTGATTCTCAACCTTTTTAATGCCGCGACCCCCAACCGGTCGTAAGTCGAAGACTACTCAACTGGTGCAGCACCGTTTGCAGAATGGGATTTTTGGCGGGCTACCAGCTTTATTCTGATTGAACTGAATAGTTCAATTTAGAGTGTACCCACTGAAATGAATGGAATATGTGCAAATTAAAACACAGAGACAGCCTGGACAATTCCTATTGGCTTTTGAAAGCCAATAGAATTAGACTCTATTCAAGAGAGTCTATTCTATTGGCTTTCAAAAGCCAATAGAATAAAAGGGAGTAGCACAGCTAAGGAAAAGGGAGAAAAAATGGCGAACTGCGTTGTTTGGCGACCCCCGTGAAATGGTCGTTCGACCCCAAATGGGGCCCCAACCCACAGGTTGAGAACCACTGTTCTAGAGCTCTAAGTGTAATTATGTCTGAGTTTGTAACTCAAAATCCTGTCTGTTCTATGGGAGTAGAGAACTATTCTCCCGTTCAATTCATTGTTGACTGAATTTTAGAAGGAAGGGCAAGATTGCCTCCCTCATACAAAAGGAATCAGATTTCCAGGTGCAGTGAAGAGTTTAAATTACATGTCCACAAATTCCATCTGAGCACAGCACACTTAAGCAGGTACAAAAAAGATCTAACAGCAGCTTTTGTGCAATAGGTTGAACAGATTGGGTGTGGGTGGTTGTAGTGGGTTGTATGAAATGAAATAATTTTCTTAGCTTGATATATTCAATGGATTAATACTGTACACAGGTTAAGAATGTTGTGGGAACTGGTTGTGCCTTATAGAGGTCTCCTTGCACTGGAGGAAGACATGGAAGAGGTAACTTTTGTGATTTACCCTTTCCCCTACAATTCCTATATGCAAGTGTACATAGCAGATCTGACCTGCAATATGAGACAAACTAATTTGTGTATGGCTACACCATGGACTAAAAGTCACCTACCTTTTCATTAGAATTTTGCAAATACAATACTATATAAGACATTTCTGAAAAAGCAGCCTGGTTTAATCTGGTGTGGGAAGTACCAAAAATGTGGTAAATGAAGGCCTATTTTAATTACAAACAATTTTGCAGCCTACTTGCAAAGAAATCTTTATAGAATTTGCTTCCGAGTAATTATGCACAGGTTCATAGACCAGAGTATTTCTTTAAAAACTATTTCAGCTTTATTAGTGTAATAAATAGGTCAAAGGTAAGCTGGAAGGCTGTCATTTCTCAAAATTTTATTAACTCGTTCAGAATTTTATTCTCCCAGACAACCGTCTGCATAAAATATAGGGAGAAGAGATATATGCAATTGTTCTTCTCCCCCCACTCTTTCACCAAACATTCCTGCAGCCTTTGCGGGTGCTTTTCCCACTTACCAATATACCATTTCGCTCTTAAAAGGCGAGTTTTGCTCTCCTTTAAAGGAAAGGGTCTTTAGAGTATTAAGGTTTTTACATAATTTGATCTAAAATCTGATTCATATTATCAGCCTTCGCTCCAGTCAAGAAAAGCCTGCGCGGGATCTAAACAGTTAAGTCCTAAACAGCATACACAGTATAAAAAATTAACACGCATACGCCTCATAGCGAGACTGCCAAGTGCTTCAGTTGGACACAAACCCTCGTTAGCCTTGCAATTAAGCCCTGCGTTCCCCTCGGTTCCTTAACTTCGCCTCTGCAACCCGCTTCACCGACGCTTCCCCCGGGTATTAGCCATTTACTTTTCTCTGCCATCAATCACACGTGCGCACTGCGGTTTCGGCGCCCTCGCTTGCGGTCTAAAGCTTGCAGATGTTTGCTCGTGTCTCTGTCCCGTCCCGCGGGCATTTGTACCTATAGGATCTCGGGACCGCTGCCAGTGTTGCAGAGCGGGAGAGTTGTGAGAAGAGATGCTGCAGCCGCCAAAGCGCTGCGCCTGCAGGTCGAGCCATTTTCCTTCCTTCCCCACGGTCTGTCTTGCGGCTCCGCCTTCGTCCCTCTCTATTGGCTCCCAGGGAAAGTAGCTGCAAGGGGTCGGAGTCGCCAAAGCAAGGTAGCCTACCCACCAATTTCCGCAATCGTTCACTTTTTGCATTCTTCATTTCCAGACATGTCAAACACAAGGTCCGGGAGCCGGATGAGTAGATGAAGAATATGGAATATAAGTGGATCATTTGCAAGGGAGGAGGAGGGGGAACCCAGGCATATTACACGCAGGTATTTCATCTTTCTGGCTGTGTCATTACATTATTCCTTCTCTAATACTTTTCCTATTTTTCAATAATGGCATGGACAGGTGGGGAATGGATGCCATCTGCATTACCAGCTTGCTTATGGCATCAAATATTTTAGATATGTTAGATTACATCAGTAACAAGTCTCAGTTTATGGTTAGGAATGATAGTCCAGCACTTCTGATGAGGATTGGGTGGTGAATAATTGCTCTCAATAATGCCCATTTGCTAAAAGATTGAATCATATGACTATAGAATGTAACAATTTTAACTTTTGTCTTGCATTTATGTGAATTGGTTAAAGCAGACATGTCAAGCCAAGGCCCAAGGGCAGGATGCGGACCGCAAAGTGGTTTCATGTGGCCTGCGAAGCCATCCTGGAAACAGTGAGGGAACGGCCCCCTCTGCCTTGGCCCTGGCCCAGGCCAGCCGGGAGCCAGTGTACAATTTTGTGGTGGCCATCTATGCTGAAACGCATAGTCTAAACTCCATAAGCCCCCCTCCCCCCACATGGCCTGAGAGCAACAGTGAGGCTCCTCCAGTGGAACATGCCTTGGCACTTGCCCTGATCCCACCCCCTCTGCCAGAGACTCTCAGATCTGTCCCACTCCTGCCCAGGCCCCTACAGGCGCCCTTGATGCGAATGATGTAGAGTTGGCCATACCCACCCAGTAGGCCAGTGGTGGCGAACCTATGGCACGGGTGCCAAAGGCGGCACTCAGAGCCCTCTCTGTGGGCACGTGCGCCGTCACCCCAGTCCTAGGCCTTCAGCTGGGTTTTATAAAACCTTGCTTTAGGCCTTTGCCACCATGTGCAAAAAAAAAAGGTTCAATCAGTCAATTTCAACTTCTCACGGGAAAAAAAAGATCTTGCAAAGTTGGAATTGATTGATTGATTGAACTTTTTAGCCCCACCCAGTCTGCAGCCATGCCCACCCAATTGGCCACACCCACCTGGCGCTCAACAATGCATAAGTGGGTTTTGGGTTGCAGTTTGGGCACTCAGTCTCTAAAAGGTTCTCCATCACTGCAGTAGGCCACACTCACTCCATCCATGCTCATCCAGTAGGCCACACCCACCCGGCCCCCTGAGGGCAACCGCAATTCTGATGCGGCCTTCGATGAAATTGAGTTTGATACACCTGTTCTTTTCGGTCCTTTTTCCGAAGCTCCAGGGCATTCAGTGACAAACTCGGGACAGAGGCAAAGAAAATAGCTTGCACCAAGTTTGTTGGTTTATTAAAAAAATTTATCAGGTTGCCCAACTCACACAGGAGAGAACTCTGGGCAGCTTTACAACTTAAAAATCCGCAAAACACCTGTAGTCCTCAACTAATGACCACAATTAAGCCCAAATGTTTAAGTGAAACATTTGCTAAGTGAGTTTTGCCTCGTTTTAGGACTCTTCTTGCCACAGTTGTTAAGTGAATCACTGCAGTTAAGTTAGTAACCTGGTTGTTAAATTAACCTGGCTTCCCCACTGACTTTGCTTGGGAGAAGGTTGCAAAAGGTGATCACATGACCTTGGGACCCAGCAAGTCAAGTAGGAACCTGTTGCCAAGCATCTGAATTTTGATCACATGATCATGGGGATGCAACGGTCGTAACTGTAAGTTATAAGTCACATTTTTCAGTGCCATTGTAATTTTGAAGTCACTAAATGAACTGTTGTTAAGTTGAAGAATATTTGCATAACCATCTTCCCCACTCCACAGCAGCAACACCACAATCTGACCAACCACTTGATCTGCTCCGTCTCTGTTGGGGTCCCCAGATCTGCTGACACAAACATCTTCAGGGCCTTGCAGAAAAGCAACAAGGTGAGGGCCAATCATACCTCTAGGGCAGACATGTCAAACTCATGATGTCACGTGACATCGCACAACGTATCGGGACGGTTTTGCCATTCCTGGCAATGGGGTAGGCGCGGCTTCTGGATGATGCGTCCGGCCCACGGGCCAGCAACTTGACACCCCTGCTCTAGGGAATTGTGTTCCAGAGAAGGGACTGACACTGAAATCTTTTTATATGGAGGGGGGTTTTTGGCATTGATTTAATACAGTGGTTCTCAACCTTTTTAATGCCGCGATCCCCAACCGGTTGTAAGTTGAGGACTACTCAACTGGTGCAGCACCGTTTGCCGAATGGGACTTTTGGCGGGCTCAGCAGGGCAGAGACAGCCTGGGCAATTTCTATTGGCTTTTGAAAGCCAATAGAATTAGACTCTATTCAAGAGAGTCTATTCTATTGGCTTTCAAAAGCCAATAGAATAAAAGGGAGCAGCACATCTAAGGAAAAGGGGGGGAAAATGGCGGACTGCGTTGTTTGGCGACCCCCGTGAAATGGTCGTTTGACCCCAAATGGGGTCCCGACCGACAGGTTGAGAACCACTGATTTAATAGGAGCCCTATTAATCAGCAATGGAACTTCTATTACACATTACATGTCACTCCAAGGGTCTCCAAAACTGTTCTGTATCTCTTCATACTGGACCAATTGTAGCTTCCGAACACTCTTCAAGGATAGCTCCATGTGGAGCACATTGCAGTAATCCAGAGGAGAGATGATCAGAGTATGAATGACTGAGCTTAACATATCTAGTAGCAGGCACAGGAGATGTGCTAATAATCCCCATTCTCATACCATATAGGCATTTGCAGCTTGACATGATGATGCAAAAATAATATATATCAGAGAATTGTACCGCAAACTTCACCCTTTTGGACTTGGACCCCAACATTGGATGCAAGTATAGGTAGGCCTGGTTTAGTGACCACAATTGGGACTGGCAACTTGGCCATGAAATAAAATTAGGACTGTGCTTGTGCTTTCCTTTATTTACAGACTTGCAAAGTTTGCAAAAGTCAGGATTTCGTAATTCTATTATTCATCACTGTCATAGTGAACAGTCACTAAATAAAGGCAGGCATTACTGCTGCTTTTGCATGGCATCTTCTCATTTTCCGCTCTAGGGGAGGTTTGTGTCATTGCTCTCAGGGGAATGAGCAAGAAGTAACACAAGTCCTACAAAATAGTGTCAACCAGAATTACCATGTGAATATATAGAACACCAATCTTTACCAGTGCAGTAGCATATCCTCTGAGATATGCCAGTTTGATGTAAATCATCATATTAGAAATTGGAAGTTCTAGTCCTGTCAGCTGGGTTACCTTGAGCCACACACACACACACACACAAGGTCCTAGGAAGAAGGCAATGGTAAGCCGGTTCTTGGAAATCTTGCACAATTTGTCTGTGGAGTTACCAAAAGTCAAGAGTCACAGATATATACACATACACACATGGCAAGACTTGCTCCTTCTTTAGGTATTAGGCCACAGGACCAATCCTGTTGCAGTTTCTTCCAATACATCTTTCTTTTGTATCAAGCCTTCCAAATTTTCTTTGCCATTTCAAAAGAAAAGGAGAAAAAAAATCCTCCTTGCTTCAAAGGCAAAAGCATGTTTTTTCAAAACATGCTGTTACCCTTGTGTTTGACATTTGGGGAGATACTAATGGTGTTGTTTTCCCTCCTGATCGATTATTAACATCCCTTCCCTTTCCTCATGTTTTGCCTTTATATATAAGAAAATCACATGTGATCCTTTACTGTTCATCCTTGCTAAGATGGTTGCTGAAGCTGCTGCTCATCAGCCCTTGCCAAACTGTTATATTCCTAGTCTATTAATAAAGATTCAGAGTTTACTGATCGTAGTAGCAGGTTTTACATAACCGAAGTAGAATGATAATCCAGTTTTGTTTTTGAGAAGAGATTCTGGTTTATAATAAGACTAGGAGAATAGCCTTATGCTCATTTTCTGTATTTTAAAAAAAATTAAAATTGTACAAATTCATTCAAAATTTGACATAAAACGGAGAGGTCTGCATGACATGGAAAAAAAATATTGCATTTTATACTTAGGAAAAAACCCATAGCACTTCAGACGTTCTGATGAGCCATTTCAGGCCAGTTGTGATTTGGCAGAAGCCAGACCGAGAATATACTTTGATTGTTTTGCATTGAAACGAAACAAATCCAGACAGGTAAATGGAGCTAAATTAGTGGGTATTGCTTCAATTTCCAAACTGGAACATCTCAGGGGCCAGCCCCATCAGTGCTTTCCTTTCCCTCCCCTCATCCATCACCATTGCCACTAAAGGCCCAGTGTGGCATATACCAAAATCCTGCCAAGGTGCTCTGCAGTCTTCCTTTCCTGCTCAGGCACTGCTGTTGCTCTCCTGTCTCACCCTCTTCCCTGTGGAAGAATATTATGGACCGTGCCCAGAACAAAAGAGCCATTTTGTTCCATGCACGGAGCAAAACACCCGAATTTTGCATGTTTTGTTCTGTCCCTGCTGGAAAGCATTCTGTTAAGTTAGTAGCTTTTTTTTTTTTTTTTTTAGGGATTGCTATGAAAACCTCCCTTGGGATTGGCCATCATTTGCTCTTTATCTCCTATGCCAGTGGTTCTCAACCTGTGGGTCGGGACCCCATTTGGGGTCAAATGACCATTTCACGGGGGTCGCCAAACAATGCAGTCCGCCATTTTTTCCCCCCTTTTCCTTAGCTGTGCTACTCCCTTTTATTCTATTGGCTTTTGAAAGCCAATAGAATAGACTCTCTTGAATAGAGTCTAATTCTATTGGCTTTCAAAAGCCAATAGGAATTGTCCAGGCTGTCTCTGCCCTGCTGAACCCTCCAAAAGTCCCATTCTGCAAACGGTGCTGCCCAGTTGAGTAGTCCTCGACTTACGACCGGTTGAGTAGTCCTTGATTTACGACTGGTTGGGGGTCACGGCATTAAGAAGGTTGAGAACCACTGTCCTATTCCTTATTCTGCTTGCATAGAATAGCGGTCTGCTTGCAGCATTTGTCCTGACCAATGACCTGTAATACAAAAATGTCTTCTGGAAAAAAATGTCCAACCTGGCCAAAGTCCTCCTGCTCTTTATTTGACTTCTTATCTATTGTTTCTTTCAGAATCCTGGCTTATTTTGATAAAATGATTGACGAGATCTATCCGCTTGCAAGCAAAGAGGGCTCTGGCCAGCTTCCCTACAGTTGCCCCTTTGCTGCCTTCCTTCATCAGCCACCTCTGGAACATCTGGTAAACTTTTTCTTTGAGTCCATCCCGTTCATAATCGTGGTCAATTTCATCCAGCTCTGGGTCACTGAAGCCCAGTTTACGAGCGCAATGTTTCCATTGCCTGGACATGTTGTCTCTCACAAGGTTTAGGTGGATATCCGAAACTATAGCAGTGCTGTCTGGTGGTAGAAAGAAGAAAAATAACATAAAAAATAAAATAAGGATCATAAAATCGGGTGGTGACTCGGTTAACAATTGCCTTGCTTAGCAACAGAAATTCTGGTCCCAATTGTAAGTTGAGGACTACCAGTATTGAAACCCCTTGAATGGGTAAAACAATGAATGTTGCTATCTTCAGTTTCTTTATAGAATGAAATACATCCCCCTAATCAGGGGTAGGCAACCTGGCTGGCTCAGGAATTCTGGGAGTTGAAGTCCACGAGTCATGAAAGAGCCAAGGTTGCCTACCCCTGCCCTAGTTGGTGACAAAGTTTCTCTATATGTACAGTAATAGAACTGCCTCCTCTATTTCCATTTAAGAAAGAACCTGGAGTCAGGAAAGAATTCCCATCATGTGGAGGTACCCTCTGAAACACAGATCAGACATTGTGTGAAGATGCTTTGTGTGATGTTTTAAATAAGATGGTTGGCAAGATGTGTGGTAAGCAAACATGTTGTGTGACTAGCTGGTTGTGACCAAGGATCCCTTCACAAACTTTGAAGCTGGAAAGGGTGTTTCTGAACTTTTTTCTAGTGATATGGTTTACTAAATTTTTGGCCACCAGATAAGGGCTGCAAAATTCTGGACAACTGTAGATTGGAAACGGAAGGCTGAATTTTCTGTACCTCTTTACTGTCATTTTGTGGTCATTAGAGGCCAGAGAAGGCAGCTTTACTAAATTTGAATCATGGCCGGCCGGCCTGCCTGCAAGTACCACAGGCTTATATAGGACGGTCCCTTTAACCATTCCATCTAACAAGACCATGACTATCAGTTTTTTGAACTTAAGTCCCTCCATTAAGATTTACTTCCAACACTTCACTATATTAAAGCTATATATAGCTTGCCTTGGAGTAAATTCATTTAACTCAGTGGTTCTCAACCTGTGGGTCAGGACCCCATTTGGGGTCGAACGACCATTTCACGGGGGTCGCCAAACAACGCAGTCCGCCATTTTTTCCTCCTTTTCCTTAGCTGTGCTATTCCCTTTTATTCTATTGGCTTTTTGACTCTCTTGAATAGAGTCTAATTCTATTGGCTTTCAAAAGCCAATAGGAATTGTCCAGGCTGTCTCTGCCCTGCTGAGCCCGCCAAAAGTCCCATTCTGCAAACGGTGCTGCACCAGTTGAGTAGTCCTCGACTTATGACCGGTTGAGTAGTCAACTTATGACCGGTTGGGGGTCGCGGCATTAAAAAGGTTGAGAACCACTGATTTAACTAAATGGAAATACTTTTGAATGGATCCTTACAGAACATTAATGTAACTTTCTCCAATTTATGTATTTATAAAACACTGGACATGAAATCTCTGTAAATATGATCAGTAAAACTGAAATATCAAGGAAGAGTGATTCTCCTATTAAGAAAGAAAAAGCTTTACTTTTCCACTTACCAAATATTTTCTGGTGTTCTTCTGCAGAATAATCAGTAGTTGCTGGAGGGCTGTTCCCTCGAATCTCTTGATTTTTAATTTCTAAATAGTTGTAGGAGCCTATTTGAATTCCAGTACTATTATATATGTTGTAATGTGGCGGTTCTTCTGATTATGAGGAAATATTAGGGGAAAAAAAAAACAAGTGTAAAGACAGAGACAAAAGCATAAGGAATAAATAAATACCAAACTGTAAGTTAATAGATATTTGAAATTTAGAACAGTGTTTTTGCATAAAATGACAATGATATAATTTCTTCTCCTGAACATCAAGGGCAGATTCAAAGAATCATCTTTGGGTTTTTCTTTTACCAGAGTTGTTTAATATAGTCAGTATGCCAATAGTTTGCCAACACGTCACAGCATATTTGAAATCACAGCTTATTTGAAAGCTTAATTTATAATCCTCATATTTTTAAAGGACGTATCAATGGCTCCACTTCTTACCTGAATAATTTAAAAAAAAAAAAAGCCTTTGAGGCATCATGCTATTTCATTCCAGGATAGGCAAAGCTATGCATAGCAGGAAAAGGCATAAATAGTAAGCTACATTGTCTTTTATTCTTGAAATTTCCCACCGCTCTTTTTTACACTCCCATTAATTCTACTCACCCCCTTCTAGTTTTGTTCCTCTTCATCCAGTTGTTTATTAATTCTCATTAATTCTCTGATAGGAAGTCAGCCAGCAAGCTTCCTGTTCCTGGCCATTCTCAAGAAAGATTGTCTCTCTAGCCTTGAGGAAGATTGTCGTTGCTAGCTTTCTAGCTATACCTTGCATTGGCTGGGTGTGCCTGTTAGCAACTGCAGGGAAAGGGAAAGGTAAGAGAACCTGGGCATGATGGGGGCAGGAAGAATGCCTAGGTCTCTCGAGAGGGGTATGGGGAATGAAGAGGCCCACATACTAGCTGGCTGAGGCCTCCCAGACCATTGGGTGGGAGGGGAAATTGCAGGGCTCTTGTGGTCTTAAGGACAAGGATGCTGCCAATCAATTGCATTTTGATCACATAACTCTGGTACTGCAATGGTCAGAACTGTTAGACAGGGTTCTTAAGTCCCTTTGTTCTGCACCATTGTAATTTCAAAAGTTATTGAACGAATGGTTATAAGTTAAGGACTATCTTTATAGCGGTTTAATAAAGGAGGCATTCCATATATATATATGGGTTCAGTGTTTCAGATGAAGTCTAGATGGCAACATAGAGACAGAGAAAAGTCTAAACGTTTCACTGCCACCTAGCTGCCATTTGGCGTTTTGCAGCCCAGACGTGGTATGTGCACCATTAAAAGAATGCATCCGAAGAGAGTGTTTTGCTTGTTTGTTTTACCTGTAGGTATTCTGCCAATAGGATGTGCAAAGTTGAATTTCCTAAAGGGAATCGACTCCACAGGACCTAAATAATTGTACAGATTGTTTCAGAGTTATGCCAGAGTCACTGTTCTTGACCTCTATAACTTTTAAGAGTATAAAATATAATTACCCAAATGAAAATCTGAGTGATGGTAATGGTACTCTGAACTTTTAGCTGGCTGATAAATAAAAAAAAACCAACTCTTCCCAATGGAGCAATCTAGTGGTATAGTAGTGTATATGCAAGATTGACTATTATAGACTCTTGTTTCCAACTCTCTCAGTTTGTAAAAATTCACCAGTTTGGCCATTCTGTGGCTAGTAAGCTTTACTTCCATGTGATTAAAGAGAAAATCTTTACCAAACATAAGTTCATTTGTAAAAGAAAATATTAATGCAATTTTTAAATCACTAAGATAGCCATGCCTGGGCCAGACCACAGTCCCTTCTTACTAGGAGCTTGAATCTTGAATTTCAGTATATTTTCATCTATTCAAATTTGGACTAAGAGTTTGTATTCATCAAGTCAATGATGCAACCATGGGTCTTACATACAAGTGGTCCTCGACTAACAACCACAATTGAGCTCAAAATTTCTGTTGCTAAGTGAGACAGTCAAGTGAATTTTGCCCCTTTCTTGCCACGGTTGTCAAGTGAACCATTGCGGTTGTTAAGCTAGTAACACGGTTGGAAAGTGAATCTCGCTTCCCCATTGACTTTGCTTGTCAGAAGGCCGCAAAAGGTGATCACATGACTCCAGGATACGGCAACTGTCATAAATATGAACTAGTTGCCAAGCATCTGAATTTTGATCACATGACCACAGCAATGCTACAACAGTCGCTAAGCGTGAAAAACAGCCATAAGTCACTTTGTTCACGGCTGTTGTAGCTTCGGACCGTCGCTAAAAAAAACCGTCACAGTAAGTAAGTCGAGGACTACCTGTATATTGTGCTATAATACTTAACAATCTTCAAGTTCATATGGTTGGGCATTCGACCACACAAAGCTGTATTACAGTGCTACAATAGAACTTGCAAAGAATTTCATGCAGGCCAGTTATTGTAACAATTTAAATTATTGTAAACCTCAGAGGTTAAGATGTCGATAAAAGTAGCTAAAGCTGGTTAGCTTTATTAGTCTAGGTTGCAGCTGGACTCTGCTCCCCCCCCCCGGCTAATGGATGCTGTTAAAGAGCGGACACGACCACGATGCAAACAGAAATAAGCAAGCCTCCAAACTCCCACATTATCTCACTTACCCGTTTCTGTGCTTAAGCTCTGGGAATAGTGATACGGACTGAATGGCTTGGCCTGAGTGTGCACACCGGATTCTGGAACTGGTGGTTTATTGAAATTAAAGTTTGCGGCTGAGGGTGCTCCATAGAGATCTTCTGCACTTAGTACCCTTCTGGGAAGTGGAGCTCCTGCCCCCAAAAACCCATTTGGATCTCTTGCTCCTGATGGTGTTGAGTGCCATGGGTGACCTGAGTGAGCTGTAACGATATTGTTGTGACTAACACTTGCTTCGATGTTTTGAGCTCTCGGGTGAAGCTCTGGTGTCTGAGGTGTGGCTGCGGCTTTGGCAAATGGGTCGTAGGATACTTTTCTCCTCCTCCTCCTCTCCTCTTCCTGCATCTCGGCACTATATGCGGCAGAAGGATTTTCTGGCCTATCCATCCGGCTGCCGTATAAATGGTAATTTAGTTCATCCTGTAATTTTCTTTGCAAGGTTGCTGGAGGCTCAAGGGCATTTTCGCAGCTTTCCACCGGTTCATTTTCTGGATAGGGCGCAAACATGTTTTCATCTATGGTGTTAGCAGTGAAACCTTGAGAACTGTGCAAAGAACCAGGTTGATCTGCAGGACAGATGAGAGCTTTGATTATCAAAGGTTTCCTGGGGAAAAAAAATCCAGTCCCTTTGTGGGATACCTTATTGACCAACTCCATTGAATACAAGATTAAGATCTTAATCCAATACACCCGCCTTCCTCAATCTGGTATCCTTCAGAACACTGGGATTACAACTCCCAATGTTCTGTGCCATCAAGTCCTTTCCCACATTTGGGTAGAGGTTCCACTGAACGTAGTAAGTCTTACTAAGTAAACAGAAATTATATAATCTCTTTGATATTATTCCTACTTCATGGTTCTCCTGCCAGTTCAGTCAGCTTGGCTCAGACTGAGATCTTCAGCACTGTCTGCTATTCTGTTGGGTTCTAATTCTGGTCTGTCTTAGCCTAGATCTCTGAATAGCATATATTTGCCTTATTATGGAAGAACTCTATTCTCCTTTATAAAGTTTTTGTCATTAGGATAACTCACACACGTTTTGCAGGTAAATGTTTCCTAGCCTGGTTGTACGTGCCTATTCCCTTATATGCCAGCTCATGAAGAATGATTTGAAGATAAGTCCTTTCCAAGGCAGTACCTCTGAAACCAATGTTTGTGAGGCAAACTGAAAGTGGGCATTTTCAATTAAAATGTCCCAATCTTCTAATTCCTTCTATTTTAAGTTTTCATTACAAACTTGGAACGTAACCCTTTCCAGAAATTTTGCTACTGTGATTTCTCATCAAGGCTCAAGATTGTCCTGTATTATGATTTACAAGCTATTGATGGCTGTATGTATGTTATTTTTAGAGTGTTTGTTGACTTGTTTGTGATTTAATTGGTGGCTGAGCATTGAGTCAGTGCCCCAAAGGCCCTTTCCTTATATCTGTTAACCTGATTCTTTTCCCAGGTGGACACCTTGAAGTGCGGGCCTGTTGGTTGGGTAACAGCAGCCTTTGTAAGATGTAACAATAAAACACATTTCTTTTTTTTTTTAAAAAAAGAAGGCCTGAAAGTACAGTAGCAGCTAATGCAAACGTGGAGCTCTTTCCCACCCTGTCAGGTGCATTTTGTTCCAGTTGCAGATTTGGGGAGGGGGGTAGAAAATGCAAATGTAACAGTGATGTTACATAGGAACTTTTTATCTAGTAACATTACTAAACACAGAGATTCCTGCCAGTCAGTCAGGGGCTCTGAATGATAGTAACCAATAATGAGGGATAAGATTAATCATTTTAAAAGCTCTGGGTATTAAAGACTGTATGATTAAATGGGCACAAAATTTTGGTGAACCAATCTCACTGGATACCTGGGAAATTATTTGGGTGAGGAATGTTAAATTTATACAAGCCCAGAATTTAAGGGAGAATTTTTACAAAATGTTTTATAGATGGCACCTTGATTCACAAAAAATGTCTATTATGTACCCTGATTTACAGCCTAAATGTTGGAGATGTGGTTGTTTGGACGCCACCTATTATCATATTTGGTGGTCGTGTAAAAACATAAAAGCTTTTTGGATTAAGATATGGTGGAATATTCAAAGAATTTTTAGAAGGAGGGTAAAATTTACCCCGCAATTATTTTTGTTAGGTATTGTTACTGATTGTGATGCTAAGGAGGTTATATTGATGTTAAATTTGATTACAGCTGCAAGGCTGTTAGTAGGGCAATATTGGAAGAAGGAATCTTTGCCTACTTTGCAAGAGTGGTTTTTAAAAGTTTCTTATTTGGCGGAAATGGCAAAGATTTCGGCCTTTTTAAAGGAGCAATCGCAAGAGAAATTTTTTGTTGTATGGGAAAAATGGATAAATTTTATACAATATAAATTGGATATAAAAAATATCACTTAGCTTTTTTATAACTTGTATATAATTTTTGATATTTTATAGATTGTTTTTTTCCCTTTTTTCCCTTTTTTTCTTTTTTCTATTTCCTTTCTTCTTTTTTTTTCTTTTCAAGTATTTTTTCTTTTTAAGGTTTATATCATATATATTTTATTATTAACTATTTTATAAGTTGTTAACATTTGTTTAGGTTTCTTAAAATTTTAATTAAGCCTATATTCAGTTCTGGGAAGCTCGGGGGGGGGATGGAGGGGGTGGTTTGGGAGGGATTGGGTGAGGGTTGTTTTGTCTTTTTTTTGTTGTTGTTATTTGTAAAAACTTTTAAAAATTTTCAATTAAAAAAAAAAAAAAAGCTCTGGGTGACTCCTCAGTGAAACTGCAGCTGCATAATGCAGAGTCCCTACCTCATTCTAGTCGGAAATAGTAAGGGTACTGAATTCTGCACCAAAATTGCTCCTTCTCTCTCTGCGTGTGAGTACAGTCATCACGTAGTTTGCACACGTTCTGATTGCTGAAGGGAAAATGATCAACCATGAATTTGTGATAATCTGCTAGAGATTTTGAACCTGTTAAGAGTCCATGGCATTATGAAAAAATAGGGATGATCAAAAGATGAGTCATTAAGCAACACAGTCCAGCCTGTGCATGGATTTTATCTTCTATGGAACTTTTTCTTTAAGAATCCGCCACGACAGAAATGTGCCGTGTAAAATAAAACAAAAGGAGAGGCTTTACTGGAGGAATCGTGTGATAGGACAGTGATGGCGAACCTTTTAGAGACCGAGTGCCCAAACTGCAACCCAAAACCCACTTATTTATTGCAAAGTGCCAGAGCTGCATCAGGATTGTGGTGCTCTCAGGGGGCGCGGGAGACGTGGCCCACTGGGTGGGTGTGGCTGCCGTGGTCACGGCAGACTGGGTGAGTATGGCTGGGGCCAAGGTGGTGTGGGCCAGTCCCTCGCCATCTCTGGGGCATCCCTGGGGGGCCAACGCCACTTGCTCACTCACTTCCTGCCTGTCGCTTCCAAGCGCCATGTGTTTGCTACTCTGGCGAACTCTGCTGGGGCAACGGCGCACGTGCCCACAGAGAGGGCTCTAAGTGCCGCCTCTGGCACGCATGCCATAGGTTCGCCACCACTGTGATAGGAGGTCTGATTAGCTACAATCCTGTAGCTTCAGAAATATTCATTTTTCTAGACATGAATTTCTAATATAGTTTTAGTTGAAAAGCCCTGGCTGATTATCAGGCACCACTACCTCTGGAATCTGTTGGACCAGCAATAGTGTAAATTGGGTATAAATAAAATAAAATACCCGATCGAGCTCTGCTGGGAGGTTCTGACACAGCATCCACTTGGAGAGATTCCATCCGTTTTACAAGTTCGATTGGTTCAGGATATATTTCCTATTATACAGAACAAGTATAACAGAAGGTGATGAAATTGTAGGAAGTATTTAATAGGAATACACAATAGGATACCTTAGAAAGGTAACCCAGATGGACTGTAAGCTACGTGTTTGATAACTTACTTTTAATTTTCTTACATGGTCTTCCACATCCTCTTCAAAGTTTTTATAGTAATACGGTTTGTAAATCAAATTTATTTCTACAATACAAGAATTAGTGAAATAATTGTAATAAAAATCAATAACACCAACACTAGAAATGAGCTGTAACAATGTTAATTTAAGTTTGCACATAATTTTCAGTTATGATTAGAATTAGAATTGCTTTAGACTAGCATTGTCCCTTGAGTTCTGTAAAAGAAAAGTTCTAGTATATAGCTTTCTCTAAATTATTTTAGTAGTAATGGTTACAGAAATGATAATCGGCCTGGCTAAAATAGACTCTGTGATTATACAACTATGCTTAATATCCAGATTTAGCCAGACACATGCTATGTATTTGTAAAATTGAAATCAAAATGTCTCTATATAATTATTCAGGGATGGGTGGATCAATGCATATGTGAAAGTTCTTTGTAGGGAAACTCTTCACTTATTCCCAAAAAATAGATTAAATAGGAATGGAACGAGAAAAACAAAGTCACTGAACATACTTTGTTATGTAAATTCTTATTTTTTGAGCTTTTAAAAGAAGTAATCAATGTATCTAGAATTCTCATTATGTTATTAGGCTGCATTAAAGTTCCTACATGTAGTTTTCAAACTATGTTATATACACGAGAGATGATCTTACAGTATGGTGGAGAAATTATTTAGATAATTTATGATGTGTGAGATTTGGTATAATGCATGAAAACCAGCTCTCTCCCAGATTTCAGAAATCAGGAAATCTATATAATTCCTTCCCACTAAGTTTTTAGGAGATATGTGAAGTCTTTTTCAGTTCTAGTTCAGAAAGCCTTTGAGCTCTTGATACCTGTATTGTTTATTTTAATGTGTTCAGTGAAATGTTGTGTTGCATGAATCAGAAGGCTGTATAAACTACGGGAGAGTTCCATGTGCACCTTGCCTTTTTTCATTCTACTGCTTACAGAAATCTATCCATATTTTCTTGATGTCCATTTGTGTACTACCCATTATCTTTTTGGCTTGTTATAAATAATTAGTACAAGTATCTTGTATTACCTGCAAAGGTTGGGCGATCATTTGGCTGTTGCTGCCAAGAGCGTTCCATTAAAGTAATAATCTCGTTTGGACAACTGTCTTCCACCTCTCTGATAGGTGGTCTGTTTCCTGCTGTGATGCAATAGCACAGTTGTGTATCAGTGACAGCATCTGGATGAGGAAGAGAGAGAAGAATTGAGCGTCAGTAACATGAAGCTGACTACATGCAGTGCAATCTTTTATAAAGTAGAGATATTTGATTGTCAACTCATACTCTCATAAGGTTCTTTGGCAGCAAAAATGGCCCATAAAACGATGCCAAAACTGTACACGTCTGATTTCTCCACAGGCACTGCATTGATGTCCTGCAGATGTTCCGGGGCCATGTAGGAAAGGGTGCCAGCGTTAGTCTTGGAATTCTGTTTGATTTTCCTCTGTCGACTGGTCTCTTCTTTAGTCAGCCTGCTCCAGTTTTTGAAACAAGCCACACCAAGGTCTGCTATCTATAAGACAGATGAGAGAAGAATTTTGGGAAGAAGAAGAAGAAGGGAAAGGAGAAGGGTCCACAGGGAATAGGATGATCTGTCCATTTTGTATATAATGTGGCATGCACATATAAATGATTTTGTTGCAACGAGTGGCATGCCTCAGAACATGGCCCGGCTGGAAGCAAAAAAGACTCTGACAGGTGACATGCTTACTTGTATTGAGTGTTTCTAATATATTTTGATATGTCATCAAATATGGTAGGTTTCTCTGACCAGCAAAGCAAAAGTAATATTCCAATGCAAAGAAATTGGAAAGGCTTGCAGTACCATAGGAATATAGTTTAGACCAGGGATTCCCAACCCGTACCAGAAACTGGGCCACGCAAACAAGCGAAACCCCATTTGTGGGATGCAGGCAGTGCGCAAAACCACACCTCTCTGGTCCACGGAACCAGTCCCTCATGTACAAAAGGTTGGTGTCCACTGGTTTAGACTAACTTCTGGGCGACACATTGTGACCTGAAGGCATCTGTGCGAAAGCAGACCAAAGACTGCGGCAGAGATTCAACAATGGTGAGTAGACCGTTCTTTGGAACCTCTCCAAATATGGAAAGGAAGGGACATCACCCACATGTGCTCCAGATGGCTACTTCTTGTAACAGCAGTCTCCCACTGGCTTAAACACCGAAAATGCTTAAGCATTGGAATAGTCTATTAACCATATTAAAGCTATTAGGAACCTTCAGAATAAGTTTAAAAAGTAAATAGTTGAGTTTAGCTTCAACCCTGAACAAAAGAAAAATTACAAGATTAAGAACTTAAATAATTTGAAATAAACAGCAGAAAGCTAAATAAGAAAGTAATACATGGATTAAGGTTCCAGATAAATTTGGAATATTGACTTTTACTGTAAGACTTTGGAATTCATTATAAAAAGTAAATAGCCTCTTGTGGGAACCATGGTTTTTTTTGGCTATTTTGGCTCATAACAACTCTAATTTTAGAAACTGGAACTGAAGAGCGCTAAAGATTCAAAGTAGAAGGGGAAAAAATATAAGCCAGCTTTTTGGTATCAGTTAATTGGGACTTACAAAATTAAACAAAATGTCACAACACTGAAACTATTAAAGGAGATCTTTGAAAAATGGAGCCAATTGGTTCTTGTTATCTCTTCTCTCCTATTGAGCTCCTGTGTATAATGGCCAGAAGTGTGTGATTCAGATCAGAGTTCCCCAATGTTTCCAGCTTTGTGGACCGGCGGGGAGGACAGAGGGGATGGTTCTATGCAAGCGTGCAGCTCCATTTTCACAAGCGGTGTGCACGCACGCTTGCCACTCACTTAAATGGAGTGTGCGCTCGCAGGCTGTTTCCACACAGCCCACAGGTTGGGGATCCCTGATTTAGACGGCCCTTGCTGTAATTTTGTTGAACTGCTTTTTAACCTTATGATTGGACAGGAAGTCACTGGCTTCTTTCTTTCTGAACAAGACAGTCATTAAGCCAGAACTGTTTTTGTCTTTTGATTCATGCCTTTTTAAAAAACAATAAAGTAGAATTGCAATGACATACAATTTAACAGCATTTGGCCTCCGCGTGATCCCCAACCTCTTTCACATAGTCCATAGGCCCTGACAACTGTGTGGCTGAAAATCCCCCGTCTTCTGGTGCTATTTTAATCTTGCCCGATGTAATCCTCACTCGTGAAACTTTTAAAAATTAATATCCCCAGGTCATCAAAAATGCTGCTGACCTGGCCACAGGAAGACGCTGATCTGGCAGAATGCAAATCCAGATCAACAGTAAAAGCTGAAAAGCTATGATGGTGGCTCTTGTTGTGACCAGTAATTCATGTTCTTAGTCCCATTCTAGAAACCCTATAAAGTATTCCAAAAAGTCATTTGAAGAAGTATGCAAATTAACATTACTATAGTTTTTTTCCTCTTCCATCACAGTTCTTTTTCCTTTAAAGTCATACCTCCTAACAGAGGTGGCAAGTGATTCTCAGCTCCCCTTTTGGTAGCCATGGAACCACCATGGAACGTAACTGCTGAAAACTGGGAGAAATGGTTGAGAAATTTGGCGCAAACCCTAAAATAAGTAAGCCACCGTTTACTTGTAAAGAAAATCCTTAAAAAACTGGCTTCCCTAACATCCTAAAAGCTATGCTCCAGTTGGGATCCAGCACGTTGCGATTTTAGATTTTAAGTCTAGAATAGGCAACCTGGTATTATCCAGATATATTGGTTTCTCCTTCCAACCAGCACAATCAGTAGCAAAATGTCAAGAGCATTATAATCTAGATATCTGGAGACCATCAGGATGCGACATCATGCATTCTGAGATCCTCACTCTCTCCCACCCAGCCTGGAGTGAGTTTTCTGTGTGAAGAAAGTCTTTTGCATACCTCCTGGCATCTTTCCCTTTGCCCAATACAAAAAACTTGAAATGACATTGCAGGAAGGCAAAGAGTAAACAATACTGTAGTGCAGTGATTCTCAACCTTGACAATTTTAAGGCATGTGGACTTCAACTCCCAGAATTCCATAGCCAGCAATGCTGGCTGTGGAATGCTGGGAGTTGAAGTCCACATGCCTTAAAATTGTCAAGGTTGAGAAACACTGCGGTAGAGGGAGAAAGGAAAATTGAGTTCCTGTACCACAAATCCATCTAAGGAAAGCTAAGCCCTCCTACTCACCCCTTTATAGCCTAACAGACCAGCATACATTTAACAAACACTCGTGGTTCCGATTTTACTAGAAACTGAAAATGTGCCTGTGTGTTCCTGTTACCTTGATGTGAAAATCTTCATCCACAAGAATATTTTCTGGCTTCAGATCCTTGTGCACTAAACCTTGTTCTGTTAGGTAAAGCATTCCTTCAATGGTCTCCAGAACAAAGCGTCCTTTCACAGGCAAAAATATAGGAGTCTGTAAGGGGAAAAAAAAAAAAAAGCATTTCCAGAAAAATATTGATTACGTTCAGTCTAGATATCTATAAAAGTGAATTTACCAGGTCAGATAGTAGGCCATAAAACAATTCCCAAGTTATTCAGATCCATTAATACAGGACATTGGCAGGGCATGATGGATGTTCTAATCTAACACATCTGGAGGGCATTCATTTGGGGAAAGGTTTTTAGTGGATTATTCTTTGAGTTACCAATATAATTCTTACTTACTGCTTTTAGAACAGACATCAAGTCTCCTTTGCGTATGTATTCAATCACAAGGGAGTAGTTTCCATCTTCCAGGATGACACCCAGTAGTTTTACCACCCGATCGTGATTTAGTTTGTGCATGATCATGCCTTCCTCTAGAAGGGAAGTGTTACATCTGGAAAATAAATGCTATAGGTGTTATCAAAGACAACTAGGGATCTAACATTCTAAAACAGTGGTTCTCAACCTGTGGGTCGGGACCCCATTTGGGGTCGAACGACCATTTCACGGGGGTCGCCAAACAACGCAGTCCGCCATTTTTTCCCCCCTTTTCCTTTGTTGTGCTCCTCCCTTTTATTCTATTGGCTTTTGAAAGCCAATAGAATAGACTCTCTTGAATAGAGTCTAATTCTATTGGCTTTCAAAAGCCAATAGGAATTGTCCAGGCTATCTGTGCCCTGCTGAGCCCGCCAAAAGTCCCATTCTGCAAACGGTGCTGCACCAGTTGAGTAGTCCTCGACTTAACGACCGATTGAGTAGTCCTTGACTTACGACTGGTTGGGGGTCACGGCATTAAAAAGGTTGAGAACCACTGTTCTAAAATCTATGCTCAAGTTGCGTTTTTTAGACTTTTAAGCCTGGAATTGGTATTTTCCAAATATACTGGTTTCTCCTTAGCAAGACGTCAAGAACATTATAGTCTAAAACAGGGCTGTCAAACTGCTGGTCCGCGGGCCGGATGCATCATAGCAAAATGCGCCCACCCCATTACCCACAATGGCAAAAAAGTCACAATACGTCGCGACACGTCACATGACGTTGCAAGTTTGACACCCCTGGTCTAGAATATCTGGAGGCCACCAGGATACCTAATCCTAATTTAGTTTTATTCGTCTGAACTTGCTGAAATGATGGGTCGAATTATGATGATAATAGGCCCAGCTAAACACAAGCCATAATCCCTAGTGCCACCAGGTCTGTTGCACTATGGATCTGGCAAACCTTAATCAACTGTGATGTTTTGAGATGATCACACCTGAAGTATATACCACATTGCAGAAAACTGGTATAATGAAACTGCAATCCCTGCAGGTGAATGAATGAGAAGTGATCTTGCATATGAATGGCAATTCCTATTATTGCCAGTGGTGTATTTTACTGTTTTCATGGTATCAGGAATACTCAAGTATTCAAGTTCGTTCTTTTTGGCTTTTCCGTTACCTCTTACATTTCAATAAGTATCTGGATCTGGAGAAAAGCTGCATTTTAATCTCCACAGTACATTAGTACAGGACCTTATAGGACAGTGGTGGCGAATCTATGGCACGTGTGCCAGAGGCGGCACTCAGAGCCCTCTCTGTGGGCACATGCGCCATGTCCGAGATGGCAACCGTCCCTCTTCAACCAGCTGCCCACTAACTCACCGAGGTCCCAAATGGCCGGATGCATCCCAGCATGGCTGGTTTCCCTCCCCCCCATCCCATCCCTCCTGGGCTCGCATGCTTTCCTTTTCCTGAGCACGACCCACTGCATCGCCTCCTCGGCTGTTGACCGGCCGTCCAGCTCAGAGGTGGCTTCTCTGAACTGCTGGTGGCGGGCTGCAGAACCCCAGAATGTGCCGATTGAGGGGCTGGCAGGCTGTGGCTGCTGACAGACACTGTCGGCCCCCATGTGCTGGCTGGCCTCTGTGTGGGGGGGATGTTGGTGTCAGGCAGCAGCCGTCCTGGCCCGTCTCGCCTTGCCCTGCGACAATGGCACCCCTGCCCTGCTTTGTCTCACCCCGCAGGACGAACCTCCTGCCCCACCTGCCAGATCTACCTGGATCTCCCCCAACGCTGCCTGGCCCCCACAGGCGTCCCTCCCCACAAGCAGCATCAAGGTGACCACGCCTACATTGGCCACACCCACCCAGCCTGCCATGACCACCACAGCCACGCCCACCCAGTGGGCCACGCCTACCTGGCACCTGGTGATACATAAGTGGGTTTTGGGTTGCAATTTGGGCACTCGTTCTCTAAAAGGTTCGCCACCACTGTTATAAGAAGTTAAAATGCCTCCTACCATTGGCATATGTAAAGGGAAAAAAGAACCCTTTGAAATATATGGGGGTGATCATAGGCAGATACCTGAAGAAACCCCTCAGGTGGTGCCTTTTGTAGAACCAGGAGTAATGAACCACTTGCAGCAGAAATGAGCTGAAAGGTTGCAAGATCAAAAATCACAGCAGCTACTTCCTTTGTGATTCTGAGTTCAATGAGACTTAAATTGTATAATGTAGGGCTTTTCAACCTTTTCACCCGTTGTACCACTTTTAGGATATGGCAACATCCGAGTATTACCAGTCGCCTAGCAAGGGGTCAAAAACTTGATGACCCCCCCTCTGCCTGCCCACCTGGCGGTGCTCTTCCTCCTGTCCGAGGTTTTCATTGTTATGAGCATTTCTGTTGAGAATTGGCAGCAGGTGGATGTTTGGTTTTTATTCCTCCCGTCTGCTGGGTGGTTGCAGTAGGTTTTGGTCACTTCACATGCCCTCGGGACACTGTGACCGTCATAAATATGAATCAGTTGCCAAGCATCTGAATGTAAATCACAAGACCCTGGAGATGCTGCAACATTCCAGCTGATCGGCACTTCTTCAGGGCTCAGCAGAAGCACCAGGATCAGCGCCGAGCTCCAGCTGGAGCCTGGTGCTGATCCTCGTGCTTCCACTGAGCCCTGACAGCCCTGCAGCTCCAGCCATCTTTCGCTCGTTCAGGTCATTCCCCTCCCCTGCTACCACTTTTCTAGAATGGTCGTGTACCACCTGCCAGGTGCCAATGTACCACAGGTGGTACTCGTACCACTGGTTGAAACGTCTTGGTATAAAGTATTGTTAGCTGCAGGAGAATAGGGCAAGAGCCCTTGTGTCCTGCTTGCACACTTTTCTCAAGACAAATCTGGTTTGTCTGGGAGAAGCCAAATGCTGGATAAGATAGAGCAACAGTTTGATTTAGCTGAGTTCCTTTTACATTCTTATTATATACCACTGGGAAAATCTTGCTTTAGTAATAATCTCTGGTAATCAAATCTTTAAAAATATAGAAAAAGAACAAATTCAGCCATAAAACCAGATAATCTGTTTTGAAACTACCAGGGCGCTAATGGCCAACAATTATGTCCTGCCCTCTCCTCTGCCTGTGAAGAACATTTGTCCAACTTACTCTGTGCGTTTAGGTCCAGTATACACAGTTTTTAATACTACAAGCCCATGACTTTTGTGGTAGCATAATGAGACTGTTCCAAAACCACCAGCATTCAGCTGGCTTTTTTCCAAAAAGTCCTCCGGTTTCATCTGGATGTCAGCCAAGGCCATGATCGCGGTTCACAGAGCACTTTAATTCAGGAAAAAAATCCAATGCCTGAAATGTTAATACAGAAGACAAAGTATTTTACGATCCGTCCTTCCATTCCCACTCTAAATTCTGGACAAAGCAGGTACTTTTGTAACCTTCTAAAAAGTTCAGAAGATGACTTCACCTTCTGCACACCAATGCATATTCAGAAGTAAATCTACAAATATTCAACGGTACATACTTAGGAACGAAACCCCCAAATAAGTTTGAATTCCCTTCACTGTCTCAGTCAGAGGTAGATACCTTGGCATCTTCCAGATGTTTTGGACCTCAGTCTAACCATAGTGATACTATAATAGATGGGAATTATAACCCAAAATATGCAAAGAGGAATCAACAGTCTACTCCCTAATCTAAACAGGTAAACTGATCATATATTTTTAAAAAAATAGATGGCCAAAATTTTCAGCATAGCAACTGGATTACCTACTCTCCAAATTAGCCAGGGAAGCATTCTGCATGGATGATGTCAAGATTCCAACTAATGAAACACTTCAAAGAACTTCCAGGCATTGTTTATTTTGAAAAGTCTCTATTTTGTGTAACAGAAAGTCGGCATGCCATGAATGGGATGCCAAGATCTGAAATCTCCTCCCCTGAGCAGTTATTTTGCTAGCATTTTCCCTCCCTTATTTTGCTGTCATAAATTCTGAAGCCGCCTAATTATTCTCTACACACATTCTTTCTCCTCCCCTTACAGCATCATCTAAGTTAACTCTAAAAATACCAGACAGTTCTGCATATTTTGTCAAAGCAAGAAAATCCAATATTAGCAGCGTTGACAGATGATGCGTATCATTCTAATGAATTTACACATCAGTGTTCATGTCTATGAAGATTCTCAGCCATCCAGTTCATGGATGTCCCAAAGGTTCTGTTCGAAAGGCTACTGGACTTTCTTGGGGTTTTTTTCCTTGCAAATGTTTCACTTCTCATCCAAGAAGCTTCTTCAGTTCTAAACTTCTTGAATTTGAAGCGAAACGTTTTCAAGGAAAAAAACCCAAGAAAGTTGCCTTTTAAATAGCACTTTTGGGACATCAGTGTTCAGTAAGTCTAGAAAAGTTCATATAAACACAAACAAAATCAGGGAAAAAAGGGAAATAATTTTTTGGGAAAAAAAATCATAGTTTTTAAAAATACATCATGAAGATGGTAGCAAAAACACATAAGCAAGCTGGCTCAGCTGGCAGACTCCTCTTCTACAAAGGCTCAGTGGTTGCTGAAGAATCCAATGCTATAGAGGACTCTTGCATAAAGCGTTCTTTTGTGGCATCTCAAAACCATCTCCTTGGCCACTGCAGCACTAAATAATAGACTACATGGAGTTTTTACCATTTTGAGAAAATTGCCTTATTAAATTAAATTTCTTCATTAAATTAGATGTCTTCCAACTGTCTAGAGCAGACATGTCAAACTTGTGACATCACATGACATCGCGCAACATATCAAGACCGGCAATGGCATGGCTTCTGCGTGACGCATCCAGCTCGCAGGCTGGCAGTTATATCTGTCTAAACCAGGGGTCTTCAAACGTGGCCCTTTTATGACTTGTGGACTTCAACTCCCAGAATTCCTTAGCCAGTGTGCCTGGCTGAGGAATTCTGGGAGTTAAAGTCCACAAGTCATAAAAGGGCCACGTTTGAAGACCCCTGGTTTAGACAGATATTTTTTCAAAGATGCCAAGGATTGAATCTTGTACATTTCCCTTATGTAGAAAGCTTGTGGTCAGAGACATCTCTTTCCCTGCAGACCTGTAGGACCATCTAAAGAAATCAGCATGTTTCAGAAAAGTTTCAGAAGAGATGGCACAGAATGCAGAGAATCACAGCATCCCCGTTTGAAATTTCAACAGATTAGGCTCCACACATAATTCATGAAGGGTTGCTTCAGAGTATAGGAAAAACACCCTAAAATGGGTGCTTTAAGAAGCATGGTCTGGAATTCAGCACCAACATTTTAAATAATGTTAAATAATGTTACATGATAATGCTTCTGAAGGCTCAACCGATGCAGGAGCTGACAAAAAGAAGAGATGGGATGTGTATCAAGAGGCATGAAAAACCGTACAATTGCACTATTCTAGGCATGAACCTAACATGCAAATCAGGAAACCTGCCAATACAGTAGAGTAACAGAAAGCCAGGCAGAACACAACTAATGCCTGGTCAAATTGCATATCTGTGGAATAAGATATGAACAAATTCTCCAAATTAATTTAGTATATGGCAAAAATGTTAAAAAGCACACCACAATTACATTCTCAGTGAGTAAAATATATTTAGAAGGAGACATCATATACTGGTACATCTTATTTGCCAGTAGAACATTAGGTACACACACTGAAAAGTTTGCTTTGTAAAGGAGGTGACTCAAAATGATAGACTGAATTTGTCAATAGAAGATGCTTATGGAAGTAAAGTTATGTTTTCATGTGTCTGCTCATGACTCCTTTTACTTTGTTGCCTTGTTTTATTGTTTTAAATAAAAATCATTCATTTTATATATAAACCCCTTTGGGGCTCTTGAGTCAAAAAGATAGAATAGAATGCTGGCATTAATTTAGCATTTCCAGATTTTGCTTTTAGAGGCAATTCCTAGAACTGCCTACCTAAAGACATTGGGCTACACTTATAAAATTTCTCCCTTAACAGATTCTGTTTGAAAGGTGTCAGATGTGATGAGAAAATAGATTTGGTTAAGGGGGGGTACATTCCTCCTAAAATTCTAGGCATAAGGGAGATTGTGTAATGAGTCTTTCCTGGAAGCACCTAATTTCTGATAACGTTGACTGCAGTTAAACCCACAAATCCGGAAGGGCATTAGGTGGTTTTTCATTTTTTGCTAGCTTTTCAAAGCCTATTTTGGTTTTCAGATCTGCGAAGTCAGTTCAGTTCCTTTTTTTCTCAGACGCTCACATTCACATACGGGCCCCGCGCGTCAGCACAACTTCAGAGACATAAAAAGAAGCGGAGCACTTAAGAGCTTTTTGCGAACTTTTTAAGATCTATGGATTTCAACTCCCAAAACTGTCCCAGCCATCTGTCCTGTCAAAATCCGCATAGTTTAAAAGTTATTGACGTTGAGAAACGCTGACTTTTGACTGCAAACGGGAAAGAAAAAGGTTATATCGCGGACTTCGTAGCTGGGCGGAAGGGCTGGTCTAAAGGCTCCAACCAAAAAGTCGAGCTGTTTTCGGTTTCATTTTCGACTTTCCCGCCTCCCAGTTTCTGCCCCCCCCCCCCCCCTCGGATCATTACGGAAATCAACCGCGAGTGATTAACATCCCAAGAGCAAATAAAGGCCATGGCTCTCCCCATCCCCTTTAAGAGCGAGCGACCCATCCTTAATAGTATTTTCTCTTCAGCGGATGCGGGAAAAAGTAGGAAGAAATGCGCGGTGGGGGGGGACGGACTTCAGAATCGTGATTTCTTTGGGTTAAACAGAGACTTGGGGCAAACCGATCCGATTCCCTTTTACCTATTATCCTCCAAAGCTGGGTCCACCCGTTTGCGCGCTCCGGAAGGATGGGGCTCCCTTCTTGCTAAATACACCACCGTTCGGAAAGCGCCCCTTTCCCTGTTTCTTCCTTCTTCGCCGAACTCTTTCGGGGCGGAGTTAGGCGGTGACAAAACAGGGCGGAAGCTCCCTTCAGCCTATGAAACACGCATCTTCCGCAGAGGGTTCACTTTAGATACGCGAAGCCTCGTACAGTAGTTATCAGGCCTAGGCTTCGGAAGCCAGAGGTTCTGATCCAGAGCGTCAAATCAAACCAAAACTTTACTAGGGTCAGAAGATCAGTGTTAAAAAAAAGAACAGCTACAAAATGAAAATATGAAGCTAAAAAGAAAGAAAATTAGTACAACTTTTCAGATCTCGGGATAGAGGCAGAAAACTGGGAAACCTGGATGTTTATCCAAACATCAGTCAGATAAAGAATGATGAATAGCAGACATGTTCCCTACCACAAAATTCCTTCTAGATAGATAGATAAATATAGCTCAGAGACTCCCCTGAACCATCCCTACAAGGACAGATAGGCTGATAAAGAGTACACTGAAGTTTATAATACCAAGTTCTAACATCGATGAAATCCAAGCCAATCTCTAAGCAAAGGGGACATTTTTAGTGCATGTCGGGACTGCAGGGATAGATGAGATGGCTTCATGGATGTTAGGGTTTCTGAAAGGACAGCATAGAAGAGCTGGGAGTTGACCTAGGCTAGGAAGACCTTGCAAGATGCAGGTCGGCCTTGTGTTTGACATGTCTGTTTTAGAGAGTAGTTGAGGCCACCTGGAGGTTTATCTGGTCATCAGAATCACCTGAGTAGTGCAAATGGGTGTGGAGCCTTCTTGGAACCGCTGAAAGGACTGTGTTGTAGACTGGAGACAGATGATGTCATATCCCTCCCCCGTTGAGAAAGGGCTGCTTAATTTTGACATAGACGGCCTCTTTGACCCCTCTTTCAAACCAGTGGTCCTCTCTGTCCAAAATGTGGACTTTGCTGTTTTCGAAAGACCTGGATGACTGAGAATCTCCATAGATAATTAAGCCCTGGAGTAGCAAATCATGACATTTATAAGTATACACCTCTCAATATATTCCCATTAATTTGCCAGTTACAAATGTCATGCTACTTTTACACAAATATCAGGACTTCAGTTTTCTGACAATGTATTACTAGTTTTCATTCTGAACAGAACAAAACCAAAGCTCTCCATTTCTTTCCTATTCCCACTTAGGAGAGAGACACATTAAGTTTCCGCTTATAGAAGAGCTGGATCCACTTGCCCTGCTAATACAGGGGAGGGATGAGTGGGGAAACAAAGGGCTGGGATTATTGGGTTGGTATTTTGGTTAAAAGAGGATGAAATGCATCCTGGCCTTGCTGGCCATGTTGTGTCCAGGGACTGCACCTTTTACACCCTTGGATTGAAGAAAAATAATGAAATTTAAGAAGGGA